CACTGGTTCAGTGGTAAGTCTTCAGTCTTATAACGCTAAAAATTGAGTTTTGTTTGTTTGTTATGAATTTCGCGCAAAGCTACACGAGGGCTATCTGCGCTAGCCGTCCCTAATTTAGCAGTGTAAGACTAGAGGGAAGGCAGCTAGTCATCACCACTCACCGCCAACTCTTTGGCTACTCTTTTACTAACGAATAGTGGGATTGACCGTCACATTATAACGCCCCCACGGCTGAAAGGGCGAGCATGTTTGGTGTGACGGGGATTCGAATCCGAGACCCTCAGATCGCGAGTCGAGTGCCGTAACCACCTGGCCATGCCGGGCCCGCTCGTATTGGTAGATAAATTCAGAATAAATTAGATTTGAGCGTTTCATATCACACACACACACACATATATATATAGAAAGAGAATCAATGTCTTAGAGATTTATTAACTGGGAAAAGTATAAATAAGAAAGTTTGGACTATTATATTAAACAACTAGTAAATTTTAAAAAAAATATATTTTCCTCCAAGTTGATAAGACGATTTTCTGTATTCATCACATTCGTCTCACGTCTGTCTGTTTGTTTGTTCGAAATTAAGCACAAAGCTACACAATGGGCTATCTGGGCTCTGCCCACCACGGGTATCGAAACCCGGATTCTAGCGTTATAAGTCCTCAGACATACCGCTGTGCCACTGGGGGGCGTCACGTCTGTCATTCCTTACTTCAGCATGCGATAATATTTAACAGTGTAGAATGATAGTGAATAACATTTTAAAGGAAGGAGTCCTATTTTTTTTTCCACGAAGGGGGAAACTAACACAGCAAAGCGTTAAGTCAGCAACGAACAAAGAACAACCTAAGCCAAAACAGAACGATGTCCACATCCACAAAGTGAAAGCTATGGTAGCAAAAGAAATTTCTCGACCTATAAAGACATTGACATTTGACGAAACCTCGTAAGTTTCCAACACTGCTCAAAATCAACGATTTGTTTGTTTATTTTGTCCTACGTGAATGTGGCCCTGGAACCCGATGCCCACGAACAGATAAAGAGGGTCCGTGGAAAGTTTTTCAAGACGTGTGGCCAAGGATTAACCTGCTTGTTACAATGGAATCTGCGGTTTCGGGTAGTAGTGCACAATCATGCTATCAGATTGACCGCGATTGGCAGTGGAGAAAAAGTCCAAAGGCACACAGAACTTGGAACATCGTTCTTATGAATTGTGATTTATCCTGTACATCAACATGGTCCCCAACTTGTCTGCTATTACTGTTTCATACAGATTGTTGTAGACATGGTTACTAATAATGAACATATTCATAACCCTGAAGAGAAAATTCGGCATAACTAGAGTTTGTAATGAAAAGTATTGGATTATTGTCATTCAATCTGGATATGTATCTAATTATACGTGGTAATTACAAACTGCTTTTGAATTTGAAATATGACATTTTGGGCTGAGTATTGTCCAATAGTTAGCTTGACTGTGGATCTATGTCCCGTGATTCGCATGCTATTACCGCGAAAAAATAAATAAATCGCTCCCCGTACTTTGGGGCTATGGATGCATTATAAGAATGACAGTCAAATACCGCTATTCTGTCTGCCTTCCCTCTTGTCTTTCACTTTAAAGTTAGGAGCTATTAGTGCAGATAACCCTCGTGTAACTTTGCTTGAAATTCGACGAAAAACAAAACAATTCAATATTTCATATTGCTATGAGTAAGCTTCAGTCATTTGTTTAAAAATAAAATAATATAATTCATAGCTTACTGTGAGTATTTTCATCATTGTATTACAGTTTCTTACGCACTCCGATTACCTGTTTATATCAATTTTTTCTTTAGTGGTTAGTTGTGATGTATAATCAATTTGAGTTTTAAGCGTATTTCTATAAATGTTTTCAAAGAAGTACGTTAATTTTCCTTACTACATCGTCCTTTAAATAATACGAATTTTATAAAAAGAACAGTGAAAAAACAAACAGGTTTCAGCACTTATTTCTTATTGACTAAGAAACAGGTGAATGTTTTTAAATACCTGTGTTATGTTCTTTAAATTTCTTACTAATTGCAATTTTAGAAAGTCCAGGAATTCAAGACTTGAGTCGACGGTATTTGAAGCCTCATAGGTTAGGTCATTTAGTTGATTAGCAAGGTTTGAATACAGCCTGTCATTAGTTTTTTTTTGTTTAGTTTTGGTTGTTTTTATTTTTTAGAAACGGTATACTTAGGATAACGATTTGCAACGATTATAAAGCAGAATTTAGAACATATCATCTGTAATTCTACTTATTCAGCCCGAAACGTTTCGATTACATTGCCTTTATGTATTTTTAAGTGTGTATATGAAACTTCTATAGGTATATTTTTGAAGAAAAGACAGAGAAGAACTCTGTAAAGTCAGTTTTGTTTATTGCTGAAACTGATCGCAATGACACTGACAGATTTAACTGCCACGTGACAAACAAATACGGTAACATCACAGCTAATTTCCAGGTAATTGTACAAGGTGAGTGAAAGTTTGTTTTCCCATTCTAATTACTCTTACCTGTAAAACAGTTAATACATAGTTTGAAAAGGTCACTATCTGTTTATAATTAATTGCAGTCAAATGACAAAGCATACATTTTGAAATATCTTATATCTGCTGTACATCGAAAGTGAAAACTTAAACTTTGTGATTTTTTATTTATATTCTAATAGTGATAACAGCTAACAGATGGCGGAAGTTGTGACGGCTAGTTATTTTGTTCGTAGGTTAAAAAAATGTTGAATTTTTCTCCAAAATATGATGAATGCACAGACGGTTTTAATAATGATAAGCGTAATATTGAGTGAAATAAAATAGACGATAGAAAATATATTAAACAAGCAACTAATAAAGTTTCAACTTGCTTATCCTGATTAGAAAATCGCAAATGGAAACTATGGTAACAATGTACGGTACAAGATCATAATATATTTTTTATCGATATAACAATATTAAAAGCCAAACAATACACACTTTGGAATATTTTGATCTCCATCCATTGTAAAAAAACAAAACAAAAACTATCATCGAATTAAAAAAGAAATAAACAATAAACTTATAATTGGTACCTTTCTCTGAATAAGCGTTGAGTGATCACATTCCAATACCACATAAATACATCAAGGATTGATTTTTTTCCAGAAATTCTATTTCTATGCTCAGATCTTGGCATTCTGACTTTCACCTTTGAAACTGTCATTGATATTGTGGCAATTTTCATAGTTCGTGGCTTACAAAATTCGGCTAATCATCTAGAGATGACGCAATAGAAATATGTTGTTTGTTATCGTTATATCTTCCTATACGCATATTTTAAATGATTTAAAGACAAAATAATTTCTTTGTTGTCCTTGACTCACATTGCCTTCCTGCCAGTAGAATAATCTCTGAGATTGACTGGAGAGGGGTATTGCAGCAGAAATAATTACCAAGTAATTTATTCTTGCTTTCACTTCTAAACATACACATATTTGTCTTTGCTAGATCGGAATTAAATGAGTAGAATGTTGGCTTTAATGGACAGCTCCTGCCTGTTTTTAGAGTAAGACGACCTTTTGACTTCTATACTGAGGCCTTTTTCAGGTCCATATAAGCCAAAACTCTACTACGTCTACACTGCCTGAAATACCTTTGAAACAAACATCTCTAAGTTATTATTAAAACTCATGGTCATGTATATTAGTCAAATTTTATATTGTAATATTCATCTCCAATTTTCTGTTTTTGTAAAAAGTAGTTCTTGTTTCTGTGATCAAAACATCGTTATAATAATAACTGTTTGTTTTCGTGTTTTTCAGTGGTTCTAATATTCAACACATACGTAATATTATGAAAACGTTTAGTGTCTGAAATGGAACTGGTGTAAGACTCTCTATCTCCATATCAGATCTATGGAAGGTGTGGCTTATTGTCGCGCATGCGTAAAAATTCCACTTATATTTCTAGTTTGTTTTGCGTGGAGACGTAAATCACAATTTGGCTATAATTTCTGTAAGATTTGTAAGTAAATGACAGATGCTATTGGTGCAATGTATTTTTTTTTTTGTCAGACATATATTTCAGTTTATTCACAAAACACATATTTATCTCACAGTCACAAATATTTGATAAATATATATATATATAGAGAGAGAACGGATGGTGTTTTAGATGCAATTTATAATTTTGCTTTGAATGTATATATATTAAATATATTCATGTAGAAGAGAGTATTTTTTAAATTTTGATTGAAAGGAAATATCGTTGTCCATTTTAAAAAGACGCTACAGACAAAGTATTTAAATAAAACATTATTTGTAATAGTATGTGTACTCTTGGGACTCTTTAAAGTCTATGTGTAAAGTATATGTGTTTAAAAATACAGGAATATTTTATGCTTACAAAAAACCATACGGATAAAATGAGCCTACTGATAAGTCCGTAGTTCTGTGTTATAAAAATGTTGCATAGTCTTATTTTAGTACTTTTATTACCTTCGGTTTCAAGAAGTTTACGGATACAACAGTGTCTTTACAGAGGCACCGAAAGCTCCTTTGGATCTCAGAATCATGTCAAAGACTGGAAGAACAATAACTATAAAATGGAACGAGCCTCAAAACGGCCATAGTCTCATCACAGGGTATCATGTACAGTACCAGCAACAAGATTCGAGTAAGTTTGGCCATTTACTCATGATGGGATGAATTCCTTGTAACGTAACTTCAACCATAATATAGTTCACTAATTTAAATTATAAAAATTATTCAAACTTTATTAACTGTGCTAATACAATTAAGTGTTTAATAACAGAATCAGCAAGAAAGTCAAAGTTCAACTATATATTCTTGAAAAACAAACAAACATGCAACAATAAGCTTGGTAACTAAATGATGACTTTTTTATGTACTCCTGTACTATACATTAGTACAATATACCAAGAAGCTTGTTTTAAAAGAGAAAGCTACAATGATGTAGTTTTCATAACTGGAAACGAGGAAAACTGGCTATGTGAAATTCCAGTTAAAATTACAGAAATAACCTTTAGTATTAGATATGAATACATTTTATCATAGTCACGTGTTTGTTGTTCGCGATATTCTTTGCTGTAATTGTATAAAATACTTATTCTGTTATATAAATGTTCACCTTAAAAAGTACAATCGAAAATATGGTGTTTATGTACGAAAATTATGCAAGCTATTTTATTTCTCCTGAAAGACACATGATTACGGCATTAGGCACTCATCTAGACGCCGCTTCACGTTTCTTTAGTATGTTTGAAAATATTTACGGTTTAAATTATGTTACCATCTTATATAAAAGTGTCTGTAGTTTATAAGAGCTTGTCATAAGCGAGTTCTGGTGGTTTGGATACAAAATGCTATTGTGATATTCGGAAATTCTAGATAATTGGGAGATACTTACTCTACCACCTGGTAAAAACACAGCTGTCATTGAAAACCTACTTCCGGCGAATGTATATAACTTTCAAGTTGCTGCAGAGAATTCCATTGGACGTAGTAACTTCAGCTTAATTTATACGGAAGAAACCGATGAAGAAGGTATTTTTATTATTCTTTACCTGTAACTTCAGCTTAATTTATACAGAAGAAACCGATGAAGAAGGTATTTCTATTATTCTTAACTGCAACTTCAGCTTAATTTATACGGAAGAAACAGGTGAAGAAGGTATTTTTATTATTCTTAACTGCAACTTCAGCTTAATTTATACGGAAGAAACCGATGAAGAAGGTATTTTCATTATTCTTAACTGTAACTTCAGCTTAATTTATACAGAAGAAACAGGTGAAGAAGGTATTTTTATTATTCTTAACTGTAACTTCAGCTTAATTTATACAGAAGAAACAGGTGAAGAAGGTATTTTTATTATTCTTAACTGTAACTTCAGCTTAACTTATACGGAAGAAACAGGTGAAGAAGGTATTTTTATTATTCTTTACTGTAACTTCAGCTTAATTTATACGGAAGAAACCGATGAAGAAGGTAATTTTATTATTCTTAACTGTAACTTCAGCTTAACTTATACGGAAGAAACCGATGAAGAAGGTATTTTTATTATTCTTAACTGTAACTTCAGCTTAATTTATACGTTGTTTTTTTTTGGAATTTCGCGCAACGTTACACGAGGGCTATCTGCGCTAGCCGTCCCTAATTTAGCAGTGTAAGACTAGAGGGAAGGCAGCTAGTCATCATCACCCACCGCCAACTCTTTGGCTACTCTTTTATCAACGAATAGTGGGATTGACCGTCACATTATAACGTCCCAAGGCTGAAAGGGCGAACAGGTTGGGTGTGATGGGGATTCGAACCCGCGACCCGCAAACTGCGAGTCTAGCGCCCTAACCACCTGGCCATGCTGGGCTTAATTTATACGGAAGAAACCGATGAAGAAGGTATTTTTATTGGCCTTAACTGTAACTTCAGCTTAATTTATACGGAAGAAACAGGTGAATAAGGTATTTTTATTATTCTTAACTGTAACTTCAGTTTAATTTATACGGAAGAAACCGATGAAGAAAGTATTTTTGTTATTCTTAACTTTGTTTAACGCAAACTGGAGTTTATTATGAGACATTTCTATAACCGTCAGGAGCTATCGATATCCAGTTAAAGCTAGATTAGTGAACTTGTAGGATATCGATAGCTCCTGACGAAGCTGTAATAGCACGATATGGAGCTAATAAAGTTAAATTTTAGAGATACAGGTCGTGATTTTACTTACGTTTATAGAAAGATATTTTTGTATTGACTTAAAAACATTTTAAATAACTTAGATTATATACTTTATAAATAGGTAGCCAAACGGAAAATATTATAACTAAACATCCATAACGTCAACTTTCTTGCGACATCTATTCATCAGATTAGTTTGATTTTTGTTTAGGTTTCGGTGTAAAATACTTCATAAATACCACATTATAGCTAATCTTTATATTCACGTATATCGTATCGTGGTAAAATAATGTTATATACTTTTACTTCAGAATACGCGAAAGAAAACAACATATTCAGAAGAATATTTATAACTTCCAAAATATTCGCGTTTTACGGTTATATTTGTATCAGTAAGACAAAATAATTACTTTAGACTATAAGTTTATGAAGCTCTACATATCAATCGCCAGCATCTCTACTTCTGTTTGATCAAATTCAGTATAATCTTTTCTTGTTTGAAAAAGTCAGGTTAATATTTGTAAACCATAAAGAATCTGCTAATAACAGGCCTCATTACACTTTCATCTATTAATCTACAAATCATGTGCTAATAATAGAACCCATGACCAATAGAAATGCCCATAACGTGTTCAACAGATTTGCTTATAGATCATAATTTTATGCTACAACAAGACACAATATTCGTTATATTCTTAGTTGATAAGCTTGTTTAAAACACATATAATCATACTTGTAATGTATCTATGCCATTTAGTCAGTTTGGCTTAGTTTAATTGTCAACTCACAGTCTGCGAGACTTCTTTGAATTATTCCAGCCCATAAATTAGGTTGACATAATTCGATAACTCGTCTGTATGTCCTATGAATTATCAGATCAAAAATCAAACCTTCTAGGTGCATATACTACTAAATTCAAAAATTGTGTTAAGTGAGCAGTCCATTTTTATGTTTCATTTTAAACTCAGTATGCACACAAAGGTCGTATTACGCCCCATTTATCTTATGTTCTTCACCAAGTATGTTTACATAAAAACAATCAGATGTATGACTCACACACAAGATTTTTGTTTCTTTCGGAAGAAATTTCCATGTGGATATTTTAACATGCAAAGTACCAAAACCACAAAGTAGAAATACTGAACTCCTTAGTGTTTAGACGGTTTTACATCTCTAATAAAGTTAAGACTTCCTACATCTTTAATAAAACTATTTTTTTTCAAATTCCATATAGATGACTGAACCTATATGTACTTGTGGTATGTACACTTTACTATTTAGGCTTTTAACAGAAAGATGGGTTAAGAAAGTTTATCGCATTTGACAGTACACTTGTACAAGCACAGCGCCCTCTTTTGTAGACGTTTGAAAAAAAAATAAACTTTATGCCAGGCTAGCTGGTCTACATCTCACGATGTGAAAGGAACCTACTTAGACTGTAGAAAAAGTAAGACAAATACAAACTTACTTCTACAGTTTCATTGCTGATTTGTTCGTATTTCAAAATGTAGAACATTCGTAAACATGTACATAACTAATAGCATGGTCATTTTAGTTAACATTCCGCATACCAGTCAAAGATATTTTGGACTATAGTTACTTATACATTATAATTCACCCAGTTCATACAAGTTGCACATTTAGTCCAAATTTTTACAACTCAATATTAATTGTTTAGTGCCTGGAGCGCCACCTCTAAACGTTAACGCTGACGCAACAGGACCGAACTCTATCAAGGTAACATGGGAGGTGAGTTAATATTGCATTTCTGATGTGAAGCAAATTGTTCAACTTGTGTTCAACAGGCATATTACTGAAGTTTAATCAAAACATGAAAAATCACAAATACTTTATTTTTTCACTGTTTTATTAGCTTGCAGGTTTGTTAAAAAATAATGTTGCCTTTCCAGCATTTTATTTAAGATATACAGATTTTCCGTTTAGTAAAATTACTCTATTTTTGTATGCCTTTTTTTTTTTTCAAATAACACTCACTACAAACAATGTACCTGCAAATCTTTTGTTTTATTTATTTTAGTGTGTTTAATGGTTAATAGTTTTTAATTAGTTTGTACTGATGGTATTATATGAATATAAGGCATGTTTTTTCTTTTTTTTGTTAGCCTCCACGTCAGGAACTTTGGAATGGCCCAATAAAGGGATATTATATCGGATACACCATGGTAACATCATCAGAGCCAGCGATGTTCAAGATGGTCGAACTGAAAGGAGACGACACGGACCTAGAGACTCACTTAACAAACTTGCGTCGTTCCCAGCGATATTCTGTGTCGGTCCAAGCATTCAACAGTAAAGGTGCTGGTCCGATGTCCGAGCAGATTACAGTTCAGACTCTTGCTGATGGTAGGTTATGAAAGAATAAAAGTATTGTTGAAAGTAAATCACTTCGAGTTACACCTTAAACCAGTTAAAACTGAAGAAACAAAGCTGCCTATTTCTATGTGTGTTGCAAATGATAGATCATTTTACTTTAGATTAATTAAACATTGTTCCCAAACAAAACATGTTTTTCACACGTAGTTTTGTAATGTGCTTGTCAGTTTAATTTCATTGTAGTTTTCTGCTATAGAAATCTGCAAGAAATCAAAACGTTCTTAGTAGGAAATTCACAGTGTCTCTGCTGGTACATGTGTTAGATCTACATATTGTTTTTCGTAATTACAATCAAAATAATTATTCACTTCATAAGTATGATCACGACGTAGCTGCACGTCAGCTACTGGGTATCATTAAATAATTATTTTTGACACATGTTTTTAAATCACCAGAACTCTTGTTATAGTTGATTTATTGCAGTGAATAAACAGTAAAGTGCCAACAACATCCAATGACTTTCCAAGGTTCCACCCGACCAAAACTAACTGGCTTTACATAATTAAAACAAACTTCAGTGAATAAATATAATTAAAAAACTTAGCTCCTCAAGCTCTTAAAGGATTTAGGTGAAAATGAAAGTTTAAAGTGTAATAAGAGGAAAAGACGTAACAAAAAGATCCAAACGCAAGAATATATTGCCAAATAGGGCAATATAATATAAAATGGTGACTGACAATCAAGGTTGTGTAAGGAAAAGAACCAAACACTAAATTGGGTCTATGAGGATGTTAAGGACTTTTTATGCTACAGAAATAGGAAATGACGTCAAAGGACAAAGATGTAGAAGATGAAAATTTTGTCTATCCAACTTATGGACAAAAAATAAATATTAACAGTGGAAGTCATTTAATCTGTAATGGAATTACCATTGGGTATATTTGTAGAAATAAATTTGTTCATTGTTTCATCTTTATTTTTTACCATATGTATCGAATTCTATGCAAGCTTAGACGTACAGTTGGCTAAGCTTAAGATTATTTTTGTCTACTTTGCATCATTTTTTAATGACGGACACCTCATATTTATGATTATGAAATGTGATAATTATTTTCATAACTGAAGTGGTTCTTAGTGTAAAACTACACAATGGGTTATCTTCACTCTGTCCATTGGAAAGTTGATACTTTGTCTTCTTTTAATCGCGCCCCCTAGTGGTTTAGTGGTAAGTTTCCGAATTAACAAGCTAAACTGTGCGTTTCGATTCTTCGTGGTGGACAGAGTGCAGATAACTCATTATGTAGGTTTGCACTAAAACCCAACAACAACTTTTGACCACTATTAGATGTAGATGGGTATAAGATATGTAGTTGGTAGTGTGTTTCGTATCTATTTTAACTTTCTTTTTATCTCCAAGGTTTAACAGCATCACCACCTGAAATGTTATAACGTTATGTTGCGTTTTACACCATCTATTACGCTGACTTCGTTATTAAGTCAATTACAGAAATTTTAAGTAAAAGTTTACCTTTACGTTAAAAGACAACATTTGATATTCGTATTCTTGTTAAGTATTTAATTCCCAAACGTGCTTATCTATAACAGAAAGCAAATTCCCTTCGTTTTCCTTCTATTGTATTATACATAGAATATTTTTAGATATGGTTATTTCTGTAATGTATATAATTTACTTCAGAAAAAAGATTTAAAGAGAATGTTTTATTGTTTTCAAGTTATTCTGTGCAACGTAAATTGTTTGTACTATATATTTTAGAATTTTACTTTTAACCAAATTTTGATATAAACAACTAATTTATCGTTTGTTTTCATGTGTAAAATAAGATATGTGCAATAAATACAGAATGCTCATATTCCACTAAATAAAATTGGTGTTTGTTTTCGCACGGTGTGTGTATAAAAATTAACAAATGAAATGCTATTAATTTAACCACTTTTTCGGAATAGTAAGACGCTACCCTAGATTTAAGGGATTAATTACAGCAAAATGGTTTTAGATTATAGCTTTTCAGTCGCTTGTAGTTTCAACGTTGAAAAATTTATATTAGAAATGTTTATGGATGTTATTGCAAATTTAGACGGAATTTTATTTAATTGTTGTTTAGACCGTGTGTTAGTTTTAAAGTAATAGGCATCTATCAACATAAAAGTAAAGTAAACAAAGAGTATAATGTAAAATAGCTATATACTAATACAGCCTTTCTCAACCACCGGTCATCCAACCGGCGCCGATCCTCTCACAATCTCCTTGTCTGTCCGTGGAATTTCACGAAAACAAACAAACAAAAGAATATTCATATGAGAATCGTAATGATTCTTCGTTGTCTATACATTTGAGCGGTCCGCGACAGTTTAAAGAGGTAGAGAGCCAGTACCTGGTATCGAAAGGGTTGAGAAAAGCTGTACAAGCAGACTCGTACAGTTCATTAAAGTAACAGAATGGATTTCAAACTAAATAAAATTAGCAATCTCAAATAGTAACATGTAAATTGATGGTAATCAGTGACACAAAATTAGATGACCGAATATGTATATACCATATATAACGTCATACAAAATGCGTTTTTGTAATATACTTCAGTACCGCCTACGGCTCCACACATAACAGTTGTGTCGAAGACAACGACATCTATCACATTCAGCTGGACTCATCGAAGAACATTTGGTAGCCCAGTGAGAGGTAAATTAAAACTTCCTCTATATTACATTTGTTATAGATTGTTATCTGAAATGTTCAAGATGAAAACAGGAATAACTTAGGTATTTGGCAGTCAACATTATTGTAAGTTTAATGTGTGTGTGTTTTCTTATAGCAAAGTTACATCGGGCTATTTACTGAGTCCACCGAGGGGAATCGAATCCCTGATTTTAGCGTTGTAACTCCGAAGACTTACCACTGGGAGATATAAGTTTTAAAACCTTTGAAACATGAACATTGGATATATTTTTAGGTTATTTTGTTACCTTCTACTCCTTATTCTTCAATACAAATATAAAACTGAATGTAATTATAATTAACGAAATATGATGAATACGCATCTTGACATTGTGTATATATTTACATACTTTTACGCTTTAGCGCGAATCACATAGCATAAATGTATACCATGAAAACGGCCTTCCTGCATTGAATTACATGATGGAGAATTTCACTCATGATGTTAGCGCTTTGAAAAGTATACCTTTCTTCTTCAGTAACAAATTGGGAATGACTAATTTAAGATAAGTGAGGGAAAAGGCGGATAGACGTCAAGGTTACATCATTTAAACTGTGTTTTGGTTGTTTTTTAAAGACATGTTACAGGTGTTAACAGCTCGTTGAGCGACCACCCGTATTAACATTCAACAGGTTGTGCTTTTGTTTTATACTTACGTAACTTAATTTAAAGTGATAAATAAATTAAAAGCAAGTTATATGAATTTATTCACGCAGTAAACATGCTCGCCCTTTCAGCCGTTGGGGCGTTATAATGTGACGGTCAATCCCACTATTCTTTGCTCAAAGAGTAGCCCAAGAGTTGGCAGTGGGTGGTAATAACTAGCTTCCTTCCTCTAGTCTTACACTGCTAAATTATGGACGACTAGCACAGATAGCCCTCTTGTAGCTTTGCACGAAATTCATAACAAAGAAACAAACTTAAGCCCCCTGATGGCTTAGCGTATGAGCTTATAACGCTAAAAACCGAAGTGAGATACTCGTTATTGTAACAGTTTTATTTTGTTTTTAGATACTTCAGTATCACATTCAAAATTCTCAGCAGTAAATTATTGCTTAAGGTAATAATAATTATGTTAATGTGCGTCCAAAACTTGATTTCTTAATCCTTTAACTTCTAGGATTTAACTTTAATTTCACTCAAAATGATCATATTTTGCTAATATCTAATTCCCGTATTTTTGTAATAATACTCAGACCTTCTTGTGTTTTCGTACTAAAGCAAGTGTTTGAATACGATAATAGATAATATACTATTTTTAAAACAAATTATAGTTGTTGTAGAAGAATATAAGGTTCGATGTTAGTTAAGAGTTAATAAATATATCGTATCAATTTTCCCAAGATTGAGCTGTAACTATAGTTTCAATGAAAGTATGTCTAATTAGTTTGTTAATTTATCTTATAGTTGAAGCTCGTATGATAAATGCTTTGATGTCTGGTTCTAGAATACGTGCTATATTATCGTGAAGAACATAAGAATTGGATCGAGAATCCTATCAGATCCAAGCCTGATGATCACATTTATACGCTCAGCGGACTCGAATGTGGCACCAAGTATCAGCTGTATATGGTGTCTACCAATAGCGTCGGGAGAAGTGAGCCTAGTGAGATTATATCTGCACGGACAGATGGAGCTGGTGAGTAAATATTGATGAAAGACAAACCAACAATACGACATACTCGATATTGTCAAGGAACAGAGAATGGGTGATGATGCATGAAACATATCACTCACTAGTTTATACATTTCCTAAGAAGATTGTATTCTATGTTTTGCTTATAAATTTTAGTCTCTTTAATAATATTTGTTATATATTCTAATATGAGGGTTATTTTACATTATTAGCTTAGTATATGGAATTAGTACAAACATAAATTTTCTAATCTAGGCGAATCTAATGAGATATTATTCTGATTACGGCAGAAAACATCACTAATAGGAAGAGTACCTAAATGATGTATCAATGCATTATATTCATTGCAAATAAGAACGATATATTAAATTAGCGATATATATTACTACGGTGGTTTTTAGTTCTGATCTACGAGGAGTGTCCGAAAAGTTCGTGACCCCACCTATAAAGAAAAGAGACATTGGTTCAACTGTGGATTATTTTTTAACATAATCTCCTCCTGAGTCTATACACTTGCGCCAGCGTGCTCTAAGGCCTTTATGCCCTTCTGAAAGACCTCTTTATCTTGGTCCTCAATTCATGACTCGACGATATGAACGAGATTAACCTCTCTATGAAATATTCGACCTTTCAGAAATATTTTAAGGTTAGGAACAGAAAAAAAATCACTTGGCGCTAAATCCAGTGAATAAGAGGGTGAGTCAATATTTCGAAGCCAGCATCATGGATAGCATTCAAAGCAACACGCAATTTATGAGCTGGGTCGTTGTCTTGATGGAAGAGAACACATTGTTTGAGCAAACCTCTTTTCTTTGAGTTCTTAACACATGTTGATTAAGGATGCATAGTAATCTCCTGTAACGGTTTGATCCCTTTCCAAAGAATGAACTGGTAAAACGGCCTTGGTATAAAAAAAAATGCTTGCTACAGTACTTTTACCGATTATTACTTCCTCTACTAACTTCCTAATGATACCACACATGTATTACCAAATCATGAACTTTATCTACAGTTTCTGATTTGGTCGATATCGAGGGCCGACCCGACCTCGGATCATCTTCACATGATTGTCTTCCGCATTTAAACTCAGCACACCACTTTTTCATTGTTGAATATGCCGCAGCGCCCTCTCCTAATGTTGATTCTATGTCCTGGTGGATTTCACGGCACGAAGTTCGTTCTTCTCCATGACGTTTGACACTGCTCACTTCTTTTCTTCAAAAATCCTCAACACACAAAATACACTCGTGTTGTTTACTCATAAAAAGCTTCAGTCTTGATATTTATCAGAAAAAAAGAATCACACATTCCAGTTTTTTTTTCTTTTTGGGTCGGGCCACGAACTTTTCGGACAACCCTCATATGTATTTTGATTGATCAAGAGTTAGTGACAATATAGCAAATAGTTATTCATGATCACCCGTCATAGATATGTCTGTTTTTATTATATAGGACCATAAGGTGTGATTCTACATTCTGACACTCTTCAATCTTGTATGTTTTTTCACTTTCGACTGAGTTAAGAACATCCATGTAATGCAAGATTTATTTTTGGTAAAACACAATATAATGGCTTAATGTAGTATACAGAGCTTACTTTAATAAAGTTTGCACACTTATGATAAAATATATTCTTATGTGATAACTAGAATAAGTAAATTATTACTACGCTAATTTATTTTTGTCAGAAGGGAACTTCTGTTTGAGACAGACTTACTTAGTGTGAAAGTGATGAGTTTTGATTGGTTGAAAGAAATATGAACTGGAGCCAGCAATAAGTAACAATGTGATATTTACAGTTCAGAAACCTAGAGACAAAAATTAAAGTTTCGACAACTTTTTGAATGTTTCTTTACAAAATTAAACAAACTGTGATTACTGTTAACATATCAATTTGCGATATTTTCGAGTAAAAATTTACTGAAATAGAATTAGAATATATTTATGATTTATATTTTAAAAGAATGCTCACTCAGACTGAGACGAACATGCTTTGATGTTCTCATTTTGTGAAATACAATAGTAATATCACTTTGTTAACTGATTATGTCATTTTTTAAACACTACAGTCATATAACTTTGTTAACTGATTATCTCATTTTGTGAAACACTACGATAATATATCTTTAACTGATTATCTCATTTTGTGAAACATAACAGTGATATAACCTTAACTGATTATTGCATATTTTGAGATACAACAGCAATATCACTTTGTTAACTGATTATGCCATTTTTGGAAATGCTATTGTTATATCATTCTTTCAAGCGGTCTGAAAATATTTGCAATAAGCCAGACATTAGAGTCGAGCGCGAAAAATGTTACAGAAAAAGTGTGAAGCAAAGTGGGAGAAAATATACCAAGATACAGAAATAAAACTTTTACTGCGAGTGGTATCACAAGCGCATGTATGAATGAATTTTCGTGGTTGACATAAATTTTCATAAGAAAGATATCTGTTGATAATGTAACATAATTTCCATACCATGACCAGCTAAGAACTGGAGTGTTGAGTTATGACAAACTCTTGTTAGGGTAATCTGTCAATATCTAAAATGACTCAAGTAACAGTGCTTAATCGAAATAGTGTTTTTAAGTGTTTTACACTCACAAAAAAGAAAACTATCATTTTATAGGTATTTCAAGAACTTGTAGCATTCCGCCACAATTTAATTCTTCGTATTGTTAGCCGACACTAGGCAGCTGGTACATAATTCGGTCACTGATGAGGAGTGGAATTCTTCGAAACTAGTATGGCTCACAGACACACCCCTAATGAAAGAATAGACCATTCCAAGCTTTTACTTGTTGTTCAACAGTGTTTAAAACCACAGTTTGTTTTAATTATCGAACACGACAGTCAAAATGAAACTTTGTGTCACATTGTCGACAGATAGTCCTCACAAGTCTCTCTTTCTATATAACGTGTAGTGTTTTTTTTTGAATCTATAGAATATTTCCGCTCAATAGCATACACACCATCTACTAGTGAGAAAAAACAATTGCGAAAATGTAAATTTAAATGTAAAAAAAAGGTTTAGAATTAAGTTGTTCAAAGTGACATTTCGAGGAATCTGCCTTTCTTCAGGCTTCACCGTAAATGCCGAGTTGTATAAACTGATAGTAATATTGAAGATTATTGAAAAATGCTTGTAGAACATGGTAAATACGTTCAGTATGGTCAACGCAGCTTATGTGGACTCAACAAAGAAATTTATTGTTGGAAATCAGCATGTTAACATGAAATATTTTCAAAAGCATTAACTTGAAATGCTTATAAACAATTAAGAGTTTCAGTGTTTTTCTCCTAGAGATATTATATACTGTTACGACAGCAGAAGTCACGTGACGCTAGTAACACGTCATGATATTTTAGAAGGATCATGTTTGTTCGTGGCAACTCTGGTCTTTTCTATGCGCCCTCTATTCTTGTATATAAGTGTGCCAGATAAAGCGAAATTAATTAATCGGAGATAGATAATTGCAGACAGACAGAGACGGACAATTGAGTCAAGCGCGGTACTAAAGTACGTGAATTGTTGTGAATTATAGCGTGTGTTTAAGTTAAAGTGACTGTGGAAATTAAGTGTATTGCAAAGTTGTATTGAAAGGGAATAAACTAGTTTTATTTAAGAAAGGACTTGTGTCGCTGAAGTTTCATCGGAAATAAATTATACGAAAAATTAACAAACGAACAGAGACGTAACAATACATTTCTTTGCATTACAGACACATTATGTCCACAAAGTATACGTTAACACCGATCTCTCATTTTTGATTTTTAAGTTTTCATGATATTTTATTTCAACTTTTAAAGCATGTTTTTATATGAAATTTTGCCCCCACCGGCGTTTTTTGGTAGAGAGGGAATATTAACTAATCCTCTAATGACCCTAACATTCCTAGATGGTAATTTGTAAATCTCAAGTGTAAACATAAGATGCCATTTATGGAGGATCTATAGGTATTCCTTGATTCCTTTAATGAAGTGGTTATGAAACTGTTGTAAAGTTTAGAATTAACATTAATGTGTAAATATCAAAGATAATTAACAATACGTTATATATATATTCGTTCTCTTAATGATTTAAACTAATATTAAGGATAATTAACAAGCTCAATTTTCCCATAGAACTACCAGTTGTATAGAACGTTACTGAAATTACAGTTTGGAATGAAGAAAAGGGATCTTGCGTTTTTTTGTCAGTAGGTAATGTTTAAATTTGTGCAATTTTATTGTAGGTAAAACACAATTGGTTGCACCTATATCTGTATTAGACCATTGGCTATTTTTGAGATAAAAAGCATTTTTTACCAATTTCCAGCTCCTTTGTCTCCACCAAGAGAGGACTTTATTCATCGTGACATCACTTCTGTTAAGCTTAATTTATTCTCTTGGCAAACTGGTGGTTGTCCAATTAAAGAATATTCCATAAAGCTCCGGAGAAAACCCATGTCACATTGGGCAGTGCTGACAGATCACGTGCCTTTTAGCCAATCACAGCATTTATTACAAGGTCTTTCACCAGGAACGTGGTATGACCTTCAAGTAACCGCATACAGCAGTGCAGGGGCAACAGAAGCTATGTATGAGTTTCAAACTTTTAATGTTACGTTCGAAGGTAAAAATTATTAATGAAATTCATAACGTAGTACTCTCTATTAGTTTTCATTTTCACACTTATTAACAAATATTAATTGTTGTCTTTTGATATTGTTTTTTGTTTCTGCTTCCTCCTTTCTTTTCTATACACCTTTGTAATTTGACCCGACATATTATTGTACTTTATGTTTTATTATCTTTATTGTACTTTGTTTTCGTTTTCATTTTCACACTTATTAACAAATATTAATTGTTGTCTTTTGATATTGTTTTTTGTTTCTGCTTCCTCCTTTCTTTTCTGTACACCTTTGTAATTTGACCCGCCATATTATTGTACTTTATGTTTTATTATCTTTATTGTACTTTGTTTTCGTTTCGTAATTTTATGTATTTTTATCTTATGACTTTCCCATCACTTGTTTTTTTTTTTAGACTTTCTGTATAGGGTTTTCTACTGATATCTTTTTCAATGATAACCTGAGTCATTAATTTTTCTGGTAGTTTATTACCCATATTATCAAGACAGTTAAAAGTTGTTGCATATTTATTATTTCAATAATTTTTTTATCTTAATCTGTAATGCTAAGATTAAAAGCCCGATTGATATACCATTGAATCGCTGTTAGCAAGTTTTTCAGTCATATATATATATATATATATATATATATCGTATTACCGTTATCGGTCCAAGTTGTCAACTTATT